GGAAGTGGAGCTTTTGAGTTCTCAAAACGTGGCAAACTTTACTGCGCCAGAATTTGTCTCACTAGCCACAGCATAAACCATAAGTCATCTTAATCTTAACCTTTAAATTAGAGAGAGAGAGAGAGAGAGAGAGAGAGAGAGAGAGAGAGAGAGAGAGAGAGACAGAGAGAGAGAGACAGAGAGAGATTACAAGAGAAAATGGGGGTTCTGGCTCTATATAAAATAACTCTCTTGGCCGACATTGGGGTTTGGTTTTTTTCAATATCTAAAGTCAAATCATGCTTTCCCGCATTTTTACTATTTAATTGTATAAGCTAAAGCTGTTGCTGGAATGTCGCACCCTACAGACACAATAATATACATCTTTCCAAAAATACAGTACTTAGGCACTTTTCAGAACACTAAGGAGAGCAGATATTCTTTATAAAGGAAGATAACATTTCTACCTTTGAATTATATAGATGTGGGCTGCTTTAACCCTGCCTGACAGGGTCAACTCGGGATACAGCGTCCCAGTAGACTGATGTCTCTCTCTCTCTCTCTCTTTCTGTCTCACTCTCTCTTTTGCCCTTTTTAATTCCTAGTGGAGCATAGGCCATCAACACTTCTCCAGCAAAGCCTTCCTGTGCATCCTTTGGACTAATGTTGGGACTCGATAAAATATTTCTCCACTGGGAAACCAAACTCACATCTTCAGTGTGCCCTGGCGAAGAGCTTAACTATCCGATAAGAAATTTCTCCACTCGTAAATCAAACTTACAATACATCTTTGGCGTGCTGTGGCAAAGACCCTTACTGCTACACCACAGACGCCGGTGTATGAGATGGCAAGGCGTCGAAAGTTTCTTTAAACCCTAAAAGTCAATACATTTATAAAGTAATCAAGCAGACAACACTTCCTATTTTTATTTTCATCTCCGACATGATTGAATCCGGTGGAAAGCCATATGACAAGCACTCTCTGAATAACTGAAGCTGAAAAATCCTCCATACTACAGATTCAAGGTCTTCAGCATGTTGGAATAAAAAGAAGCATATAAGGCCTACATTTTAAAAAAAACAATTAGCGTCATTTAGTGCAGGATAATATGGACTAAGTAAAGGTCATTTAGAGCTTGGTCAGAGCAAGAGTGAGACGGATAGGATCAAGAGGGAAATAAAAGAAGTAGAGACTTCAGTCCAGTAGCACCTTCCAACCACCCATTCACACCATCATGATACTAGCTCAACTAATTCAGTGCCCCGAGGATTTTCCCCCAATGCAAATGTATTGATGTCCCAATCGACACAACTTAGACCATTTAACGAGGTCGGCTTCGACCATTACTGTAATGGTCAACCCTGCTGGGGGTGCACGGAAATGAACGTGCTGATGAACTTGCCGGCAAAGCAACACCCAATGGCCGAATTATGCTCGACCCACCAATGGTGATCGCCAGATGCAAGGAGAGCCTTCACAACCAAGAGGAGACAGACTCCCACACACTCAGCACAATAAAAGAAAAGTGTGTGCGGGGTACAGCGAAAAAAAAGTTTGCTCCGAGGAGTAGTCAGGCGTGTCTCAAACCAGCTCCTCATGGAGACAATTAGCAGGAAGACCCTGAGGTGGACGCTGGAAAGGAGAGATGAGCAGCTATGGACATGTGCCGCATGCTATGATTCTAGCTCTGGACCCAAGTAAAATCCAAGTAAAATCCTGCTGAGAGGGATACACCATCCAGAACAAAGACCAAGATACTTGCTCAAAATTCTTTTTCTATTTTGTTACACCTGGCCAATTCTCTCATCTGGCGCTTTTGTTTGTTTGTTTTTGTAAAGTGTTTTTACGGCGCTCGCAACTGCATAAGGTCATATGAGCGCGCGGGACACACCTAATATTTTCAGTTGGTAGGAAATTTTGAATTTTACCCGGGTGGCGGCCGAAGCCTACTCTTATAATCGATTTTAGACCACCAAGGGATCTTTAACGTGCGCAACTTGCACACGGGCCCTCCGAGATTTTTCGCCCTTGTCCGAGAAGGCTATGTGTAGATCTTTCCTACCAGAAGATCAGGGGTGTGGCAGAAAGACAGCAGTAAGGAGGAGCCAAGGAGGAGCAGTAGAAAGGCTGCAGAAAGAGTCAGGAGCCCAGAGGAGGGGGGCAAAGGAGGTGAGGGGGTGGGGGCAGAAAGTGGAAATAAAAGCAGACGACAGAACTTTGCTAGAGAGCAGGAAAGGGGGTGAAAGGAGACACATTTAGAGAAGAAAATTTTTCGGTCGCTACCCGGATTCGAACCCGGGACCTTTTGAATGAGAGGCCAACACCTTAACCACTAGGCTACGAGAGCCCCCCGGCGCTTTTGTGTTTAGTAATATAACAGCAAACTGTGCAGCATTTCGGGTTTTGAAAATTAGCTGTTAGTCTTAGAGTAAACACACAGGAAAATTTTTTACATAATAATATAAATAATTACATGAATAAATAAGTTTTAAAAATATGTTTTTTCACTCTTAAAACGTTTTTTGGTAAGTTACTCATCTAAGTGTTGCCATAGCCCCAACTGGAGATGCAGTTGGTCAGTAAGGGGTCTTCGTGTTGTTAGAGGGCTCCACTGGTAGGTCTTACTTCTTTTCTCCCCCCCCCCCCCCCTGTTGTTTTTTCCTTGAGCTTTTCTACTTTTAAGGTCTCTTTGTGCTTGTTTTTACATAAACGAGCAACAGCAAAAAAAAATTTTTAATGAGGGACTTGTTTGATCTCCTCTTCCATCTTCATCGTTACTGTTGTCTTAATCTGCGTCTGGGCACCCTCTGTCCCGCTCCCTAGTGGAGTTATCTTTACAGTGTCACGGAAGGTTTCGGAAGTTTGCACGAAGTCTCATACTATGGTGGTGAGTGACACAAAAAATTCTCCCCACTCAGGAATTGAATTCGGGTCTCCTTTGTGGAAGCACCTAACCCCTTCCCAATACACGACTCTCGTGTATAATACAAGTAAATGAAGTAGGACCCAAATCTAACTCAAACCTCAAACCAGCATGTAAGGTCGAGAGTACAACAACGTACTACTACACCATAATGATCGACACGGCATTGAAAACTGTCAATAATAGCGACCCAAAGATTGTGAAAATACAACCCCCAAAAAAAAGAACTCAATGTCGCAAGACAAATCGGAACCGGCAGTACTTTTTTTTATTCCTCTCACTTCACTCTCAAACCATACATAACAATTTTCATTTTTTTATCACATCATATCACGACTTTCAAAAAACAAAGAGTGAAAATGAAGACGAAAGAAAATGCATGAAGTCATATTCTGTGAAGAACCATAGGATATAAAATATAATACAAGCTACTTCCCATGAATAGAACCAAAAAAAAAAAAAGAAAGAAAAGTACAACACATGTCTACAATACCAACACGGACTATGAAGTATGAGAGCCATATCGTCGGCTGGATGATCAGATGTATTAAGCCCTATTTTTTCTTTTTTTTTTTTTGAAGTGGCAGTTTCTTTATCTGTAGCATCGGTTGCATAATATTATGTCAATGAAATTTTTTGCCCAAACTCAAATTCTTAATATCAAAAGAAGAAAGAAAAAGAAAAGCATTATAATGGAGGTAGAATTATTTTAAAATAATTGTTTGTTTGTTTTTTCTCTCTCTCTTGAAAAAATGTTGCTCTCTTATACTAATTGAAAATTAAAAGTGTTGAACAGCTTGCAGACACTGCGTTATTCTACGACAGAACAGTAACTACGCACAGAAACGGAAGATCACCATTAACATTAAGACTTCAATCAATGAGGAAGCTTTTCAACGATACAAGCATAGAATATTCTGATTAGTTTTGTTTTTTTGGTTGTTCTTAATTAAAGAGTTGCAAAAGATAAATTCACGGTGAGAAAAGAGAAGAATAGCGTAGTAACAGTTGAAACTTTGCACAAATTTCATGTTATATCAACAACAACAAATCATTCTACTATTATTGCACAAATTTCACTTCACAATACTCAGTATCATTCACACACACACAGTCAGCTACTAGTATACACTCAGTCATAAACGACAGCATTCATACATATACAACAAACCAGCTCTATATATGCACATCCTGCTTCTCAAACCAAAGATACACACATAAAGCCACATACACAAATTTTAAAATATAAAGTAAAAAAAAAAAAAATTACAAAAAAACAGCATTATTCTATATCAAACTTGGTAATATAAATAACAAAAAGAGTGAATAAGAAATAAATTTAACAATTTTCTTTTTTTTTTTAAGTCCTAACTAATTATTTGAAATAGGAATGTTTACAGCTGATTTTCTGATACTGATCAAAGTCATCATGTAAGTTGCTTGAGAAGTTCAGCTGACACCATATGACGGAGTCTTACATGGAGCAGTTGTTGTATAAATATTTTTAAAGCAATGGTACGATAGAAAGACAGAAAGATTGAGGATAAGAGATAGAAAGAGAGAGAGAGAGAGACAGAGATAGAGAGAGAGACAGAGAGAGACAGAGAGAGACAGAGAGAGACAGAGACAGAGAGAAAGAGAGAGACAGAGAGAAAGAGAGAGAGAGAGAGAGAGAGAGAGAGAGAGAGAGAGAGAGAGAGAGAGAGAGAGAGAAAGAAAAAAAGAGAGAAAAAGAGTGAGTGTGTGTGAGTCTGAGTTTTTGTGAGAGAGAGGGGGACAGAGAGAGAGAAGAGAGAGAGAAATAGGGAAAGAGAGAGAGAGGAGGACAGAGAGAGAGCCCATTGCAAAACCGATAGATGCACAAACTCTTACAGTTTGTCCAAACCCAAAGCTTACACCTGATCAGTGTGGAGAACATTTTGAGCTGGAAGACAGAGAGTATTAACTCTTTCCCTCTGGCCCGCCACTTCCAAGAAGTGAACTGGAAAACCCCCTGACCAAAGCACCACCCCTCCAAGTGGAATTCTTATAAATCACTCCCCCCCCCCCTCCCCCTCGCCTCCTTTTTTCATTTCTCATCATCGTTTCTACACATTCTACAGGTACATCCACACATATCTTATGTTCACCCCATGATGTCTGCTCAATCTGCAACAGTTTGAGGAGTGAACCATCCATGATGGCCAATTGTCAAAAGTTTAGTTGTTTCCATTTTTTTTTTTTCAAAAACATCTTGAAGAGCTAAAAATAGGCTGCGTAGAAAAGGGGAAAGCCTAACCAAACTAACCGCAGGGAAAGAGTTAATTCAGCACATCCAGTCACCATAATCTCTGTGTACGAATGAAACACAAATCATGATATATGCAATGAGGGAAAATGAAAATAAGGCAATGAGTACTATCACATATAGTAACCTCCAGTGCTCACTCCATTCTTTCTCGGTGCTGAGCATTTCATCTGAAGATCTTATTACTGTCAGCGCACAAGTGCATTTCAATGGGCGTGCCCCTGTCCCTAACTCAATTTGAAACTTTCTGATGTCTGCAACTTTCAATATCAAACTAAAGTATCGTCTTATCCCCCCCAAATCTCAAATCACTGGCTTTCTGTGCACCAAATGGGATCACTGAGAGTTGCAGTTATCTGTCTATAACTTTCAGCTTTTCTCTGTGATCTGGAGTGACCGTATTGAAAAAGTTTGACGGCATTTTATTTTCATCAAAGAACACAATAATCCACAGCTGTATGAACATCAAGCAAACACTGCAATGTTGTGAGTCCTTCAGGAGCAGTAGGGAAAAAGAAATCAAATGAGAACTAAAAAAAAAATGATATTCTGGTCAAGTTGTGCAAGAGCGTCTCAAAGGGAGACAACAGTACAAAACATCAATTACACTTTTACTTTAGATTTTGGACCCATTCTCAAGCAGCAAGTAATAATAGCACTCACTGTTATGTCACAGACACATATTCCCAGCAGTTATGTGGGAAGTCTTGCTGTGAATAGTGGACTTCTTTGAGATACACACTGAGATACACACCGAAACATTTTGCAGTAAATATCTTGAAGCGTCCCCAAAATCTAGTATAATTTTCTAACAATAGGAACAATAAATAAAAACCAGATACTCACTCAACTGACATCACAATGTTCATCACTGAAAATCATCCCACATTTCTGGGGTTTCTGAACATTACCTGAGACGTGACATCACTAAATAAAAAATACAACACACTCAGGCAGGAATGAGGCTAAATCAGTCCCCGGTAAGATCATGTACACTTTGATTGGGTGGAATCTCGCTGGACAGGACGTCCTTCAGAGGTGGCCCTACGTCCTCACCTGGAACTTGCCCGCTCTGGTGATGTACTTCACACCCTTGAAAGGCTTGTATTTCTGTGGGAAAAGGCAACACAGCAGATGGTCAGATTCATCGAGGAGGGAGGATGTCTTACCTATCCTAAGCCCCACTTTTAAAAAAAGACTTAATTTAAAACTATAAATCAATTAAAACTATAAATCAAATTCAAAAGTCAAGTCTAAATAACAAAATCCAAAGCATAAATACATCATTTTGAATTGGTTGCCTCCCTCCTTAGACTGGGGCCAAAGAAAGAGGGTATTCTGCAGTAAAGAGGCATACTGAAACTGAGAAGAACAACAGGAACTTTATATTCAAGTAACCTTTTCTGCTATCTCCTGCCCCCCCCCCCTCCCCCCACCCCAACACTCTCCCCCAGACCCACCCCAAAAAAGTATTTTAATAAATATATGATAATAATTTCAGTTGCAGATGCTACTGCATGAGAGAAAAGAGCAAAATCTTAATATCTTATACGACCTTCTCGAATAAAGTTTTGTTCATTGTTTCAAAATTACAGCACATTAAAACTTCCAGGGTTCACAACTGGTAGCCTATATATGGAAACCTCTTTCATGGCCCAAGAAACCAATAAGAATGATGACCACTTCCACACATCCGGAGTACCATGAGGCACAACTTTCAATCAAAATAACAATTACGTGGATATGTAGGCCTTTATAAGACAAACAAAACTCAAGTGAGAAATGTAGCTCAAGTACAAGATACATTTTCCTCCCATGGAAAATAAAATAATGATATATAAAAACTTAACTAAGGCATATTTTCATGAACTTATATAAGAGTGCAACATTCCTGTTGGAAACAAAGAAAGCTTGATGTAATGGTACTATAACAATCATGGCATAAAGCATACCTATCCTTTAATGAGATTGGGTTTTCTTTTTCCGTTTTGTTTTTCTACAGCCACAGATATTAGGCAGGGTTCTAGAAAGGTATCTCATTAATCAAAGGCTAACAAATTATGAATTGCCAAATAACTTTGATGCGTCATTTATTGTGGTGCTGTCACCACTATCAAACATTCCAAAACCACAAAAAAAGACCAAAAGTGCCACACGATAAAGCTTCAGTATTTTCTTTCAACAGCTTATAAAAAGTCCCACATGATAAAGCTTCAGTATTTTCTTTCAACAGCTTATAAAAAGTCCCACACGATAAAGCTTCAGTATTTTCTTTCAACAGCTTATAAAAAGTGCCACAACAACAACTGCTCCCGTCAAAATTCTTGAAAGAGCTCTTTCTCTCGTAAAACGGGTTTTGAAAGCCACAATATACATTTTTTTAAAGCGGGAAAAGAAATATAGGTGCCAAAAAAAAAACAAGTACAGACGTCAGCATGAGGATAAATAGTTCATCACTAGAAGGCCGAAACACAGCCTCCAAAGAATGTGTAGATGTTCCATAAAACGAACAGACCAAAAGCTTCACAAAACCTTTTCTTCAAAGGATTCAAAAGACATTGAAAGCTACATATTATTTTATTTAAAGCAAGAGAGAATACTGGTGCCCAAAAGAAAAATGCAGGGTCATATCTGCAAAACTTGCAAATATGAGTAGGAAACCTTTGCCTCTATAAAAGTGACATTGAAGAAGAGGTCCTCTAAGTTAAAATATGATAAGTGCACAAATTGGAAGAATATTCATAGAAAAACTAAATTTATGTAAGCCGTACTTATATGAAGTTCTACTCTCTATACATCATCCTCTAGCATAACTTAAACTCTTCCACAATCACAATCAACGGCCCAATGGTTACATAACACATGAATATGCAAAACATTTTCGGTCTTTTGAACTGAACTGGATTAAGATCAAGTCAAAGAGACCCTGTGATAACAGAAAACTCTTTACACAAATATCTCCAATCAACGGTAGTACACTTGTTCATTTGAGTTTGTCAGTTTGTTACTGCTTTTGTACGAAGTATAATACATGGTTTGTAGAACTTTGCAAATGAAGCAACAAGACTAATTTCCTTAAAAGGACAAAAAAGGAGTTTTCTTTTTGCTTTAATGGAGGGACTTATCAGCATCAAGCCCAACACTGAGAAAGCATAATGTGAAAGGAATTAAACGAACTATGGAACCGAGCTGTAGAGCAAGGCCAACAAGGCCATTTCACCAGACGCAGATTAAGACAACAGTAACGATGAAGATGGAAGAGGAGATCAAACAAAGTCCCTCATTTTAAATTTTTTTTTGCTGTTGCTCGTTTATGTAAAAACAAGCACAAAGAGACCTTAAAAGTAGTATAGCTCAAGGAAAAAACAACAGGGGGGGGGGGGGGGGGAGAAAAGAAGTAAGACCTACCAGTGGAGCCCTCTAACAACACGAAGACCCCTTACTGACCAACTGCATTTTAAGGCGTACTTAACAATAAACTAGCAAAGAATCACCTGATTACTAATATTGCAGTGCATTTTGGGGTTTTTTTTTAAAAAGCAAAAGTGCTGAAAATGATTTTGTCGGTGCATCATAAGCGGAACATTACATAAAAAAAAGAAAGAAGCACAATGAAAGACATCAAATCAACTGTCGGTGTTTTAGAGCTTTTGAACACCTTTACTTTCATACATGACCGGTTTATCTGCTTTTGAGTTTTATATATAAAAAGTAATTGGATAAGAATGTAATCTGACAGCTTGTATTTGTATTCGGAATTATGCACTGCATGAAGGATCCCCAATTATTCCTTTAAAATTTAACTGTATTATGAATATTCATTTGATACTGACAGCATAGCGACAAACATGATATAAAGCAAAAAAATTTTTTTTTTTTAAAGAAAATGATACGTAATAAAATAGCATAAAAGCACAGTGGCCTTGATATTAAAATGTGTTTTTTTAAATTAGCCATGACAACTACACATCGGGAAGAACTCTTTGCACTATTCTATTTTACAGATTCTAATGTAGTGAACATTTTTCTCAGAATATAAAATAAAGTGCAATTTGATACATCATACTGAAATTCCCATGAAGAAATCCAATCACCGAGGGATGTGCGGAGTTATTTTGTGTACGGTTTTCAACATGAAAAGCATAGAGGAATCTTCAGTGTCCCACGGATTAAGTGAACTGCATTTATTCAGCCCAGGTGCAAATGGCCACATAACCTTTATTTTGATTTTAACTAAAAAGAAACACATCAACACAATAACAGTCATTTGGTGCTGGCGAGAAAGCAAGACAGAAAGACAGACAGTCAGAAAGAAAGAAAGAGGGAAAATGAAGAAGTGCAACCTTCCAGTGGCCCCCTTCAACAACCCGCAGATGATCACAGAAATAGCAGTTTACTAAACATACAGTGCATTAAACCTATGTCTCCCCCCCCACTACTAATCTTCAAATTCCACTGCTTACCAGCAAGAGGAGGTACCCCTCTAAAGACCAAATAACACACACAAATATATACATCATGTAAATGTGCACACTATTTACTTTCAGTATGTAGAGAATCTTCTCAGACTTAATTCATTTTTCTTCTTCCTTATTTTAACTACAGTCGCACCTGTTCTAATGGCCACCTATATATATAAGACAATCACCTGTACAAACGGCCACATCCTATATCCCCCCCCCCCCCCCCCACTGTGTTTTGTCAAAAACGGGACATTTGGACAAATTGTGTTTTGTCAACAACGGGACATTTGGACAAACTGTGTTTTGTCAACAACGGGACATTTGGACAAACTGTGTTTTCTCAACAACAGGACATTTGGACAAACTGTGTTTTCTCAACAGCGGAAACAGAACCAACAGCATGATCATCAAAATCCTCATTGAACAACCAGGATTTGAAGGATAACACTTGACCAAATTCATATGTGCGAGTAAAAAGCAAACGGAAAGTGATATTTTGACTGAGTAAATTATCGATGAAAAACAAACAAATAAAATATACCCCACTGGCCATATTAATCATACCCAAACAGGGTGTTCCAAATGTTTCCACACAAGACAAATATTCAGACATGTCACACAAGACAAAAATTCAGACATCTTTAATAATAACATCAACCTCCATTTCGCTTCCTCAGAATTATAAAGTTCTGACATTTTTGGCTGTTTTGAGTTACTAAGACAATGAGGTCAGAAACCAAATGTTCAATCCGCTTTATCAAAATCATAAGATTATTTATTCAGAGTCATTTTCATAGTTTTCGAAGAATTGCGTCCGAAAACGCTTGACAGGATGTGAAACTCAAAATCTTTCACGTCAAATTTCTCAAAACTAGGTGCTGAGCAGATAAAACATTGTAATTCTCAGGTAGCAATTTGTCTTAGATTCTAACAGCAGCACCACCCACCAGTTGAAAAACAACGACAAGACAACACACATATTGAGAACACTTTAACTTTTATCATACTGTTCACCAGATAATATTCATTTATCTTTCAGAAACATGTTATATTCATAAACTTTCTGAACCAACGATGGAAACTTCGGGATCACCCTGTAAGACTATTCAGTCAGCTCTCAATACCCACTGTTGTGCAACCCATCACACAAATGTAGTGATAAGAATATCGAAGCCATCACACACCATATCCTACTCAGGTACAAGCAGAGTGTTTTAAAACAGTCACACTAAACTTCCACTACACCCTAGTCAAACCATGAAACCCCACACTAAGACTATTATCTACAAACATATGCTGAAATATTTTCAACTCCCCATCCCAGCAATAACAACAACAACAGCAGCAACCATAATCTCTCTCGATCGCAGACCAAAGATAAAAAATGACCCAAAACAACAGAAGATCTCACACTGGTTCCCTTACCTCAGGCTGCAGACAAATAAATAAATAAATAGCCAACAGTCTTGCAGTGGCACTTTGATTGACCATTTTTTTAATGTTTTGAAATCGTCAATAAATAAAACAATGTACCCTACTGTCAAAGTAACTGTGACATTTCAAACGTTTAAAAAAGACAACTACACGGCTTAACAAAAACACAAAAAAAACAAGTTACACTAAAATAAAAAAATCCGTTCAGAAGTAGAAAACACAACAATCTCCCCATGTAATTTAGGAGACAGGCTGCACTGATCCTGTCTGCCAAGGTCAACTAGGCTGAGTGCAAACACAGAGTCTAAGTGGCAAGAAAAAAACACCCAGAAAACAAAGCTTCCCCATGCAGGACTTGAACTCACTTCTTTTGCCCACAATGCCAATAGGTATACCCTATATATAAACATTAAAACAAATAGACCCAGGGGGGACAAGACAAAAACAAGAACTCACAGAATAACGCTAAAACAGGTACACATATACGCCAAAACTACAGATGGATGGAGAAGAAACTCTTTCAGACTCAAACGACATGGCAGCACCCATCAATCAACCATCCTTTCTACTGAATCCTCAAAAGAAGCCGACAGACAAGGGTAAACAGAGAGCTAGAAGAGTCATCAGACTAGACAGTGCGTCAGCTTCAGCACTAAGAAAATATCATGACATCTGATGGTGAACGAAGGGACAGCCAATTTTGGACAACGGTGACAGGGAAAAAAGACAGTGAGCAGAAAGGAGAAGTAGACAAACAAACAAAAAAACCACACAGGTTAAAAGTAGACTGAGCAGATCACAATTGATTTTATCTTGAGTTACAAACCACAAACCAAAACAAACAAAAAAAGGACATTCAGTTCCATTTTGAGGTTAAGGGAGCAAACACGCCCATTTTCACTTTCAAGACACAGAGAAAAACCATTTTCAATTTCTTCCGAGAGGACAACGACGAGCAAAACATGACAGTTAGAGTAGAAAATAGAAGAACCACATAACACCAGAGTGAGGTGAGAAATTATTGTTAAATATCTAAAGCCCCAACCAACACAATTTAAATTATTGAGGAGTCTGACAGCTTCGTCCCTTGCTATCAAGGCCAACCAGGTCCGAGAAAGACACCATTACATTACACATGCTGGTTCAGAGTAAGTCTCTCTCTGCCCTTTCCACCCTGGTACTGGGTTATAAGCTGTCAACAGGGGCTCTCCACCTGTCTTCGTCAGGGGATCTTATCTTCCTCCAGCCAGCCCTGCCCCAGTTAAGGGTCAGTATTACTAATTAAAAGTAAAAAGACAGAGAACTAAACAGTATTTACCGAGTTCCTCAACAACTACCCAGCCCCCATGCTTTTTGTTCCAAGGCCCAAAACATTTAAGTCAAGAGACCGACCATCAAAGACACCTGGCATTCATATGATTAGTAGTACAGTACACCTAGTACATGCTGTGCTAGTACACATTCAAGTTTGTTTGTTTTTGGTCAAGGTTTGCACGCAACTAAGCAACCCTTTGCACTGTTGTTGTGCGCACAGCAAATTTTTACTTTTCAGACTCATGTGAAACACGCTGCAAGATAGAGCTTTAGACTCAAACACTGAAAGTGGTTCCAGTGAGGAAAAGCCTCAAGAAATAAATGCTCTGGATCCCCAAAGCAGGTGTGCGTATTGGGGAGGGGGGGGGGGGAGTGTATTCAAATGTCAATAAACCAGTTTCTGTTTACAAGATCAACCAAATTAAGAAAGAAGAAATTTTTTTTTACTTCCCCAAAAAAACTAATTTAAAAAAAAATTAATAAACAAATAAATAAAAAAAAAAAACAAAAAAAAACAAAAAAACAAAACAAAACTAAAAAACAACTTCAAAATGAATTCACATCCCTGTGAAGAGGTCTAGTATTCCCTATTCTGCTCACCAACCACAACCCACCCACACTGGTTAAGTTGCGTGTTCCCTTGAACCCAAAGAACGCATAAAGAAGGTCGCTTGTGGCTCCCTCCAGACCCCAGACCCCAACACATGTACACAACCACAAGGAATGAAACAATATGAACGGTGCCGACAACTACGCCACCAAACCCCATTCGACTTCCCTGCATACAAGACAAGAACACTTGAGGATTTCATGCACTGGTTGTCTTGCCATATGTTCTGATGCCACACTGTATTCACCTTCTTTTTTATGGAAAGTTTTTGTTTTTCTTATGTGATACAAACGTTTTTTCTGAGAACTCTCATTTGTACATTAACTGTAGATCATTGCAAAGTAACCTGACTAAAATTATAAACACAATCCTGAGATTTTCGAAGCTTAATCTGTAAGATGTGCACGAACAAAATATAATATATGTTTTTCCACTAAAGTAATCATGAGACTGAACTTGTGTTTTGGAGGATTTTTTTTTTTTTTCAAACTGGTTTTCTCTTCTGACATTGATAACATTAAACCAAACCAAACATATGGCATACAAAGACATCTATAACTGAAAAAGCGAATCACTGTCTTCAACATGGTCATTATGAAACATAACAACAACAAATGAGAAAGAAAGCATAACAACTTAAAACAAACCTACTCATTCTTCTGTAAATTAGAGCACTTGGAAGAACACTTCAAAAGGTGCCTGGCACTACTTTTATATCCATGTGTGCTTCAACAAATCACTGATACAATGATGAACGAAATGCAATTATTACAAGAAGGCCAACAGATTCAGCCAAATCCAATGTGTTATTATTCTTTTATCTTACTGAATATCGAGTGGGACATATCCACAGTTTATATTAATGCATCATAATAGAAATTTGAAACATGAGAAAGCTCAGGTATCACAATGAACAAGATAAACTTTGGGAAGTGCTTTCACCAGACGAACAGACAATGGCAGCAATAAATCATTAATAAACAGTTCGAGTAAGTTTTCAAAGAAATGCAAATAAGTGGGAAAAAAAGAAGAGAAATATATTGAAAGCCATGCAAAATGTCGATTGCATACCCTTTGCTTCATTTCCTTTGATTAAATAAAAAGGTAAAATAAAACAAACAGCATAAGTAATGAGAAGAAATAGCTGCATTAGGATATACATGGAAAGCACATGGAGATACAGAAATGACTTGCAAGAGGTGACAACATATCTAGGCAATTAATTCATTACAATCAGGCAATCAGGAAACTGAACACTGTTTAAACCAGAGTGTAAAATATCTATATAAGTTACTCAACAGTTAAAACCAGATCATTCTTCCGATTTCATGCACGCACTTCCTTTTTCTCACATAATGAGACATGACAGAGCAAAAAAGACTTTTTTTTAGCAGACACTAGCCTAAAGATAAGTACCTCTTTCCATTTCCCTGTCTGACTGAGCACAATGTTATAAAATCATACTGCAAAATTTGATCCATCCTTCTTGTACAGAACGTTATATTGAGAAAGTGGATACGATTTATATTTAGGTATTCTGTCTGCAATTTTTTTTTCTGAAAGAAAGAAGAACTGTGAGCAGTTTTATTTCATCCCACACTACAAGATTAAACTAGCTTTTTGTATCGCATCTACCTGTATCATATCATGCCTCATAATTCTTAGAAGAGTAAACAAATTGCTGCTGGCAATAGTTTATTTATATAGCGTCACGATTAGCAGATCTGTGGCACAGACAGACAGACGGACATCCATATATGCTCAGTCATATAAACTCTGCAAACATTCTCAAAAACAAGACACAGGCAAGGCAAATTTACCTGAAAATCTCTGATTTTACTATTCTGTCCTTACTTAAGTTTCTTCTAATACCATAAGTAAAGAGGGTGCCTTTCGCAAGAGCTTGTCCAAGTTTTCATGGAGGAAAGAAAAACTGAAGCTGGAAGGATCAGTTATTTTTCCCAAGCTTCAAAAGCACTTTGCTATTCCCCTATAACAATCACTGCTTAACACTTAGTAAACAGCACTCCATTTCAGTTGGCTTGCAGCATCATTTGGTAGTTTACAGCCACAACAAAAATCTACCAAATCTCAGCATATTCATTTTACCTGTTATCAGACTGTGACAGTATGTTTACTGCTTGTATCACTCCATTTCTACTCAGTTTGGTGTTTATTTCAAGCAAATAGATTAAAAACCGGAGTGGAGTTAAAAGGGAAGTTCGTGATGCTGAAAACTCGGATGATAAAATAGGCTGCTAACAAAGTACAAAGGAGGAATAATCTTGTGTGTACTAAGAGGTAGTAAAGCTTCATCTAACCAGAGACGATCAGATCTTCTTATACTCCTAACCCTGAAGGTGAAACATAAACATTTCTCATGGGCATGATAAACACCGTGAGCATACCACTTTTGCTGAAACATTTTTATTACCATTAGAAAGAAGCATTACCTCATAAAGGCTTCACAGGGGAATCGATATAAATACTTTTATAAAGCTGTACTATGTATTCAACACAAACAGAAGCATGCTTCAAAAATGATCTCAGTCAAGTACGCATACATACTACCCGTTATCATGTGAAAGCTAAACTGTTTTGATACACTGTTAATGAAACACAAATATTCAACAGAAGAAAAACATATAACACAAGAACAACAGAGAACAACAAAAACATTAAGTATAGTATTTAACAGAACATTCATTCAAGTCATATAGACAGGCAACTTCTTATAAACAGTACCTTTCCAGGGACAGACATTAACATAGTTTTGCTACAAAACAATGGAGTTCTTTATTTTTTAAAAAGCAAAATACAAAACACATAGCTAATGGCACTGTTAAAGGAGACCACAGCCACAAAAGATAAGGACTTTTTTAAATTACAAAGAAAAAAAAACTCAAGAGTGATTTAAAAAGCCTTTCAGATGGAAACTCCCTCGGTTCTTTCATTACTGAATTATGTTTTCAACATCCTATAAGCCACCAAGCCATTGCATTGCTTCTTTGATGAAAACTGGCTAGAACACAGTACTGGCGATACCATTTTTCTAAAACTAGTGTAACTCAACAAACACTGATAAATCTGAAGTCTAGAGAATCCTGAAAATATCTTGGAATAATTTGGACGTCATCTGTGTTTTCCACATCAAAAACTTATAAAAGAAGAGGAAGAGAATTACCTGAAACAAGAAACAATAAACCAAAAACAAAGAGGGAGCTCAAAACAAACCAAAAAAGAGATTATAGATTCACACCCCTAAAAAAAATCATATCTGTTAAACTATGACAACATCAGTAATATACCAACATAACTGGTAACAAAAAGGGTTTGACAATGGCTGTCATGAAGCAGCTTACTGAAATAATAATATTTTAAAAGGATTAGACTTCAAGATTCTAGACCGGGCTTAAAATAAAAATATCAGGGCCTTACTCGGTTGAAGGCTCGTTTGTAATGTCGATATTATGATTATTATCGTTCGTCCCACTACTCATGGGCTCATATCATTCAGCCCATTTATAAAGATACATACAGATGTTGCCATGCCACATCACACACACACACACACACGGTACCGATTTCAAAAGGAGAGCAAAAGACAGCAACAAGGTAAAAGAAGTAGAAGGAGAACAAAAGCCCGTCAGGAAGAAACAGACAAGAAGAAAAAACACCATCTCCTACCTCTCCATACATGTCCAGTCTGTTGACCTTCAGACCCGACACAGCCAGAGTGTTGATGGTGAACATAACCTGCACCAGATCAATCACAAAATGTTGAAAGTGGTCATGTTAGACATGTGGTCCTACTGGACAGCATAATTATAATTAAATACATCTTTTTTAAATGCACGGGGGGGATGGGAATGGGAAGTGCTAATTTATACATGTGATTGTCTTGGACATGTGATTGCTAAAGCAGAATCAACTGTGTTTGCCATCATTCTTAAGTCACCACTACAGTAAGAGAGAAAAAGACAACCAGAACACTGCTCCTATTTTTGGGAGGTGTTTTACAGCACTCCCATCTGCATACCGCCATCTGAGCGCGCTGGACACATTAAACATTTTCATTTCGGCAGGGATCGATTTTGAACTTTGTCTGGGTGGTAGCCGAAGCTTACTCTCTTTGATTTTGAACCACAGAAGGATTTTTTAACTTGAGCACATTAATAGCAAATACAGCACACACGACAAAGGAGACAAGTACTTACGGTGATGGTGGGGTTAGACTCTGGCACGGGAACACCTGTCTGTAGAGTGATCTGGAGGGAGAAAGGTCAGGCAAAAGTAAAGCATAACCCACCACATCACCATGCATTATGACAATTACAGCTTATTGTCTCCCGTTTCAAAAATGCATACCTGCAACCCCACTAGTCTTCAGTTTTAGTTAGAGTTTTACAGCACTTGCAACACGACAATAAAGTCATATAAGATGCCAATGATTAGAGGTGTTACAAGACAGTAGCAAACACAAAACAACTAAGAAGGAGAGATAAAGACAATAGATGTTGGATAGGAAAGAAGAAGCAAACCATATCAGAGCATCCGCCAACCACCCATCAACCCCACCATGACCTCTATCATGATGACACCAGAAGTTGCACTCTAATTAAATTAGGTTGAAATCTATGCTTCACTTTCCTCAACAACAACAAACTATAAAAAAAGAAAAATTGTTGACAGAGTAAGAAAATAAAGATGTATCTCGTCAAGATTCAGATATAAAAAACTAATAAAGTGTGATCCTCTTAGACAGTGCTATTATGATACAAAAAATTTCAATAAGTAAGAAAAAGGCGAACAACATCTTATGGTAAATACTCCTCAAATTGACATCGGTAGCCTAATAATAAGACTGCCTGACTCACATACAGACCTGAGGTTATATTCTTAGGACAGAGATTTTTACACAAACTTTCCTCATTTCACTCAGGGTAGGAATGAATATCTAACTTAGAGCAGAAAAACAACTTCACATTGGAGTGCTTGTAAAAGGGCAGCTTGCACTTAATGCTTCTTCTTATAAAGCTGAGAATATTCCTGAATATCATAAAGTCTGACCGGGAGTTAATAAATTGTACAGTCTACTTTCCAGATGGGATAAGCCCTTGACAAAATGACTTTGTTTGGGGATTTCAGCGCCATGGGAATAGATACTTCAAATTATTGGTTGAGTTGGTACAATGTATTCGTACAAATTTGTATAAGACATGTTCAACTCAAAAAAAAAATGACCTCAGTTCAAAATCTACGAATTTGACCGCGTGTCAATTTTTGGCAGATATCTCCATTCACAAATTGCGAGAAGTAACTTATTTTGTCAGCATGCCTCACAAATGTACTTCATCATACTCACAGTTCCTTTGATATTTGGTAGTTTCGCAGTATCAATCTTGCCAACATCCCAGGTCATGAGCTTAGACACTGGGTCAAACGAGTTCTTTCCCTGGTTAGCTGTCAGGGTGACGTTGAGCACAGACTTAGGGAAAGGGACTTCAAGGACGACGTTTTCAACCTGTAAACACATATATGTTTGCATTAAGAATCATTGTCGACAGGTGTTCCACACTCTTGCGTCATCAAATATTTTTAAGTCCTCACCATACTTGGGATAATCATACTGAAACCAGGCGCTCATCCAAATAATGAAATCAAAGAAACTAGCGTTTTCCTGCAGATTGGGCAATTTTTTGGTTGGTTTTTTTTTTTGGGGGGGGGGGGTTGGGGCTCACAGCATTCTATGTCTATTTGAAATACATTCATGTGTGCATTTTACTGAATAACGTTGATCAAAGGCACAAAAAATGTAAATTTGCAGTTTCCAAGATCACTACCACTTTGGAAGTCACCAAACTTTGGCGATCATTTTCTCGTTAAATTTACCTCTCACATCCGGCAACCCCCACCTCCTTCAATAGTGAACATCACGACTTCTATTCAAGATAGACGGGTAATTTTTTCATAATAAGCAAGGTAAATGAACAAGCTTTAGGAAGATTCCAATAACTTTATGAGCCCAAAAATTGATGAGCACCTGATTCCACCGCGTTGTCATACATCATTTTGTAGCCTGAACTGACCTAACTGTCCACACAGATGCTATCCAAACGAGACCTGAACCTGAACTGTACCCTGTTGTGATGGAACAGAGCCTATTGCTACCATAAATTACAGCCGGATACAAAAACAAGAAGGCTGCACACAAAGAAGAGAAAACAAATTGGAAGACTTGGTATGCAGATAGCTCAGTTTTCTATAAAGCTGGACTACCGTACACATGAACATGGGTGGAATCCTCAGTAGAGTACTCTTGAAATGAGGGTTATTTTGGGAGAACTTGTATAAATGTTTGTTTCCAGTCAGAGTTTACAGAACTTGCAACACAAAATGGTTGCATACTTGCTGAAGAGTAGAAATGTTATTAATAAAGCAAACCACACCAGAGCATCAGCCAAATAAGAACTTTGGGAGAACAACAAAAAATAATAAACTTTACAAATATGAGGACAGAAATTTTGTTGTTGTTGTTTAGTAGATGTTTTACGGTGCTCACAACTGCATAAGATCATATGAGCGCCAGAAGATTAGAGGTGTTACAAGAGAGTAACAAACATAAAAAAGAAGAAGGGGAGATAAGGACGATAGATGTTTGATAGGAAAGAAGGAGCACACCACAGCAGAGCACCCGCCAACCACCCACCAGGATAGAAAGCATGGCACTTCTATGCAAATGAGCCAAGAGCAGCTGCTGTTTCACATTACATTTTTTAAAAGGAAAAACAAAAAAATACAAGTGAATAGGTGTAGCTGTACTCACTGTTTTGCCCATGGTCTGTTTGGGCCCTATTGTCACGTCAAATCTTCCACCACTGCCCTCACGGAAGGAGATGTTGTGACGCAGGTACACAGGGATTGCCACCATGCTGGGGGGGGGGGTTAGAAATAAATATATCAGGAAAAAAACCCAAAAAAAACACAACCGCCATCAAGCAAAACAAATACTCAAATCTGAAGTTCCTATGCTGTTAAATTTTACTTTTAGGAGATTAAAAATATCATTTTTTAGTTAGCATTTTACTGCACTTGCCACACAATAGATCGTATAAGAGCTGAAGATGAGTGGCGTTACAAGAGAGTAACAAACACAAAACACGAAGAAGGAGAGATGGGGACGATAGATATTTGATAGGAAAGAAGGGGCAAAGCACACTAGAGCACCCATCTACCACCCTCTTTGTGAAAGTTTTATGACACTTGCACCACAAATAGGTTATATATAAGGGCTAAACATTAGAGTTGCGATTAAGACATGAGCATAAAAAGAAAAGAAGAAGGAGAGATAAATAAGCTAGATACCTTAGATATGAGACATTCTGGCCAGAGTGATAATGAAAGATCAAATGCATTGCACAGACACACCGCATCGTGAACCCACGAACCCACTTCCTAACACTCCTCAATATCTGTCATGTTGTAAAGTAGGAGACAGGCTTCTAAATATCACTTGCAAACACATAAAATGTGTCACGATGTGGTGGAATCAGGTGTTCGTCAATTTTGGGGAATGTGGAGTTATTGGTATCATCTTAAAGATTGTTTAGTTGTCTTGCTATCGGTGAAAAAAATACCCATCTACCTTGAATAGACGTCACAATATTTGAGATTGAAGAAGGTGGGGTCACCTGGTTTTAAAGGTAGAATTATGCGAGAAAATGGTCGCCAAAGTTTGGTTATTTTTATAGCTTGAGAGTCCAGGGAAACTGAAAACTTATATTTTTTGTGTCTTTTATCAAAGTTTTTCAGTAAAATCCACACAGAAATGTATTCTTCATTGGACAACAATGGTCTCAAGCCAAAAAGCAACAATTTGATAAAAATTGCCAAATTGGCAGAAAAATGCCAATTTCTTCAATTTCATTATTTTGACGAGTGCCTGATTTCCCCACGCTGCCTCACAAATTAGAAAGAACAATGTTAGGGTGATATATATTCTAAATGGAAACAATTTAAAAACTAGATCTGACAACAAAAAATCCCAAGAAAATATGGTCATGGCATAAGAAGAGTCCAAAAAAATCTCTTTCACTGCTATAAACCAAAGCTATGATGCTATATTCATAACAATAAAAACAAGATGTTGATATGATGATAATAATGAAACTAACCACAATCATAATGAAAGGGAATAAAGATAAGGGAAAATAAAATGTTTAAAATAAAAAAAACCTACTACTAATACTAATGTCATGATCAGTATCAACAATAAAGACAGTATCGCATCAAACGTAAGAAAAACAGACAATTATTCTGAGTTCCAAAAGGTTCTTTTAAAAAAAAATAAAACAAGCCTCACTTGTTAGCACCAATGTGGTAGGACATCATACGGAAGTGACCATCGGGAGGAACAAACGAGAGAATCTTCTCAGTCTGGGGGCAAAAAACAATTTTAAGTTACTTATTTGAGTTGTGTGCAAAGACTACAATCTATTCATAGTCTGTAACCTAAACAAAGACGCACATTTCACACACCGACAGGTTAGCTTGTTCAGTTTCTAACCTAGTTTCTGGCTCTGGTCTTTTATGCTGGAAAGGTCGTAATTTTAAGTTGGTACGTAAAATGTACAACACAAGGGTATCAGAAATTGTAGAGTAATAAAGAAGACTGTCTGGTTGACAACAATGCTGCAGTCCCTCTTAGTTCTTGAAAAATGGAACAAAATCACACAAACACAACAATTTTTCTTGTTCTAGAAATCTGTCGGCATTGTACACTCGCCTGTTGTAAATTTAACCTATCTTCTGATTGATTGACAAGTTTCATTCATTTTCGTCCAGTGGTTTTACCCTATACAACTGTACTTAGACAACTCCTCAGCACAGCCCGATTTCCGACCCAAAGCACAGAGGGTGATTGGCATTGCTACATTATTCTATTAATTACTTTTAACTTTCATTCCATCGGGACAAAATTCCCACAAGACTACAAATTATAAACCATTCACACAGCAAAACAGACGTGTGCACTTGGTCTCACCTCCCATCTCTTGAAGCGCACACATGGGTGGAAGCTGACATCATCCAGGAGCCGGGGGTTAACAAAAGAGAGGGTAAGATCTGGCATACCGCTCAGCTTGATTAGACAGTCAATCTGTGAGGAAGACAAGTCAGCAATGCAGACGAATGCGTATGAAAAATAGATAAGATAGAATAAGATACGCTCGTAAGTTAAGATAAGATACCATAAGATAAGATCATATATAAGATCAGATCAGATCAGATAATATAAGATTAGAAAGGATAAGATTAAATTTTATAGATCTCCACCCAAAGTTTGTCTGAGTATCAGTCTGGAGTAATAACAACTAAGTTTTAGTGATGAGAAACAGATTGAAGCAGTAGTCGCAATCTTTCAGTGCAGTGGAAAATCCAGAAAGTGAGACTGAAGAATCCTTGTAGAGAAAGAAAAGAGGTAGGATCTATCAGTGGCACCCTTTTGCAAAAGACTTGAATTCCCCAAAGTTCCTAAAAAATTATGCACATAACAAATTCAAGTCATGCGCGAAAAAACAAAAATAATCCGCCTTGCACACAGTAGAGAGGAAGCAACCCTTACGTATCCTTGTATCTCAGCAATGACTGTGGAGCCAGACTTGTCAATGATGGCGTCAATCTCTTCTATCACGTCAAAATAGGCCTCATTGTTGGTGTACTTGACGCCCGTGCGTCTCCACGGGATGTTGGACAACTGACCAGTGGGCAACGTGGCACCAACCCTAGAAGGGAAGAACATAGAAAGGAAGCTATATCAGACATACGTTATTAACATCAGTACAATATTATTATTCTGACTACCAGCCAAAACAGTGAATTACAAGATGGATTACTACGCCGTTTTGGGTAAGCTTGTGGTCTGAGTTACATTCCTTTGCGAAAGGATGTACTTGTGCTATCCAGCTGTAAAAAACAGCTCAGTAATCAGTCTAATAATTCAATTACAATTTCCAGAGCATGTAACTAAGGGAAGTCAATCATGACTGACAAATTATACATTATACCTAATTTATACATCCTGTATAGTTGCCCATAAATACCGGCAGATTGAAATGATAAATTACATGAACACTAAAGTAACAGAAAATATTTTGAACACCTGAAGTGTGTGAGCCTTCAGGACAATACGTGGCAATAAAGACAGACACTTCAAATTGTGTCTCTTGAAAAATGTTTATGTCTAAATCATAATGCATACTTCTTGAGTTGTGGTTGAGGCTTCCCAACACTACTTTTTATTTTACACCTCAAATGTTTTATCTTCTTACAATTTCAGCAGTTTGCTCATATGACTGTAGTGAAACAAGCACTTAAATTAAAGTAGGAAAAAAAGGATCCAGAGTGATATAATACAGTACAGGAATCCAAATCACATTAAAAATTTTCGTGACATTACAATTTTCCAAAATCATAAGACAATCACGTGTATAAACGATTACTTCTCACTTCCCCCCTCGGATTTTTTTGCTATATATATATATCATAATGACACTGTTCAAGAATTCGTCGACCTGTCTAAGACAATAAATTTTCTCCTCAAAAATGGGTGGCCCTCTCGGACAATTTCTACAGTACTTCTGAGCAACTGACCCAGTGGACTTCCCAGTGACTGTGTCTGTGATGGAGCGGAGGAAGTTTGGGGGCTTGATCAGCTCTTTCAGGACATTCGACTCCACAGCCAAGGGGAAGCCATTGTCCAGCATCTCATCCAACAGCTTCAAGAATACACAGGAAAAAAAATACATTAGAAAACAGATTATTTATACAATAATTACAACGTGTAAGGTCGACCCATTGAAAGAAAAACAAATGAAGACTATCAGCTTTTTCAAAAAGGAAGAAAACCTGCAAAATCATCATGTTCATAGCCATTATATAACGTTTTATTTTTGGACAATGTAAGTCCTGTCTATAGACTCATGATAACTCCAATACATTACCCCCCCCCCCCCCAACAAAAAAAACAAACAAACAAATCCATTATGAAAGAAAATTTAAAATGAACAGTGTTCCATTAGTAGTAGCTTTTGTGTACATATGCTTGGGCCTTCAGGGGTGGGGAAGATTGGACAACGCCCCTAACATACACATCTATTTCCAGGCAGAGCCATTTTAATATTTGTTGTCACAAACGTTTTAAAACGTAAAATTCCTTATCTGAAGAGACTAGTACTTAAAAGTAAACTATGCCCTCATCATTCCTTACTTTATTTTCCTCTTAAGGGGACAAAAAACTCTTAATTTCAAACAGGAACCAGACAATTTTAACCCTGATCCATTCACTAGGTAAAACAAATTAAAGAAAGTGGTGCACGGAGAAAGAAATATAAAAGATAAAGAAAGGACAGCATCAGATTTACCTCATACACAATCACAAAATGATCTTTCAGGTTGGTTTCGGAGCATTCGGTGAAATAGTCTTCAAACATGTCAAAAATTCTGTGCAGAAACTCTACCACAAACAGTGGTGGTACTGAGGAGAGAAAACAAAAAAAATAGTTTGATTACTTTACAAAATTTTACTCAACCCTTGCCAAAATATAACAAAATCATAGAAACCAACATTTTCCCACAACTTTGGGTAATTTCTAACAATTTTGGGGGGGCACAATACCTTTTGTATCTATTAAAAAACACATTTCTGTGTGTATTTAAGCTAGAGTTTTTTCTTCCATTTTCCATGGAAACCATTGCTAGATGACCTGCACAGTTATCATTTATGGGCAGTATTTTCAGGGGGGGGGGTTAAAATTAAAGGTCAATGCTACTTACTCCATATATCTACCCTATCACTTTCAACCCTGTCAAAGTTAGCCTATTATAATAGAGCTCTTGACAGTTTTACCTATATTTCATTGACCCTACTGTTTCACCTAAAAGTACTGAGCACAGCAACATTATCACCTCAGGAGAAGTTGTACTGGCAAACACAGGAACTAAGCAGGATAGCCCAGTGTACGATATTCTTACAGTGTGATGCAATTGAGGAAAAGGAGAAAAAATACTGTGCAGATATCATTGTATCTTACCCTCAGTGGTAACCACTGCAACAAAATACAGACTGTTTCTGTAGATGTTAATGAGGTAGTGATGAGGGGTGGCAATGACTGGAGGCACATCTTCCGGATTTGTCACCTAAGAATAATCAAAGAAACATCTTTTTACAGAAAATTGAACACTACTTCAAAAGCAAAAAAGAATAAAAGAGAGAGATAAAATTGAAACTAAAGTCAAGCCACCTTTTCCATGATCTCAATAAAAATGAAATGTTGAATCTTGTTATAATGGAAAGGAATTCTGTGCTATTTCCTTAATTGCTTCGTCCTGATTAGGAATAGTCTGAGAAGTGAACTGGTAAAAACCTTGGAAAAATTGCTTGACTTCTACAAAAGGAACACAAATCTTTGAAAAAAAAGATACAATATTGCAAAAAACTGTTATACTGAGAATCTCAAAGAGCCCGTCAGCTGTAACTAAACAAATAGTCAAAGGAAAATATAACCGAAGCAGAATGGCTGGAAATGCATGTTTATTTCCTGAAAACTTAACAATTTTTCAAGTGTGTTGGATTTTTTTTCTTTTCAGAATTATCCAAATGGACAACAGATCAATTTTAATAGATTGATCGTACATCTTTTACAAACTGAACAAATACAATTATTTTTAAAAAGTCAATACACCAATACCATTATCAAACACTCTCAGTTAAAACTTTCTTTTTGATGTTGCAAACAGGACGCTCCCACTTTCATTCATCAGTGCATGCAATGTAGCCTACCTTGCCCTGGGCTTCAAAGAAGTAATCACAGATTGACTTGTTCACCACACTCTTCCAGTGTTTTTCCATAAACACATCCCTGGAAAAGTAGACAAACAACAGGGTCAACCAGCGTCGTGAAAATTTATAAGTTACTAATCACATTTAAATAGCCTTATAATCCACACTCTACAGCATGTTCTGCATGCTTTATAACTATTACACTGGTTTAATATGGTCTCATACCAATGGACACCAGAAAGAATCCCTGACAAAGAAAAAGGGTGCAGACAAAAGGATGAGAGAAGGGGGAAAGTGATCAAGAACTGAATGATTTCGATAAAATTTGTCATCAATAATTTTAAAAAAAACCTGGAAGCTTTTTTGTCTTCAGCAACAGCAAACAAAATCACATCTTCAGGCAAAATGAAGTTCATGAAATAGAAAAGAGTTAAAAATGGAAGAAAAGTCTGAAAACTTACTCTTCCCGGACATATCGCAAATATATCGGCTGTGACAGGGTGCCTCAGTCTTGTCTCGTTTTAACATGATCCGTCATTTATAATAACTTTTTTATTATTTTTGAAAACTTGGAAAGGGTTTAGGAAACGAAAACATCTAGCTTCACTTTGCGAAAGCGTGAGTTGGGGGAAAAAACGAGTGAATTATTTCTTGCGGTCTTGCATCAACAAAATGATGTAATTGGACTCAGTATAAATATATCATAACTTACACAAAAACTGGAATATTGCTTTCAAATAAAAAGCTGCGTATTCAGAAATTTCTGAATTATGCTCTTGGCTTGTGATAAGATAGCTATGCTGATTGGCTTTCACAAGTTTGGTGAAAGTAATTTTTTCCATCAAAATTTATTTTTCTCTTCACCATCGCCATTTCTATCCCTTGTAACACTTATGTTCAAAATTAATCCTTGTTTCATGTTGGAATGTATTCCGCATTCAATTTCCTTCTCTCTCTCTTTCTTCTGGCACTGTGGCGTCACAAGAAACGGTCAGCAATGCCGACAGCACACAGGAACTCAACACTTGCCCGCGGGGAAAACACGGACGGGTTGTTGTGGTCCTGGTGTTCCCAGTAGGAAATTTGATACGTTTTGAATGATGGTTTTGCTTAATATTAAATTAAGTTATTTAGGACACCACCTGTGAAGCCAAATTGAGCCACAAGTTAATTACGTCTAGACCCAAAAAAAAAACCATGTCCAGAAAGAGTGAATCAACTGGGCCAAAAGACATTTCTGTTACACTTTTAGATATACAAAAATGACAGTGAGTGAGTAGACTTACAGAAAATAGTCAACAGAATTTTTATCACAAAGTCTTGAGGACGAATTTAACTTCATAATGTTAGGCCTACTCAAATTAATCGAGTCTGAATACAGGTTCTTGTACTAGATCTAGAACTTGTAATCTAGAAAATTTTTCAAACAAAATAACCCAATTGTCAAATTTGTGACACAAAATCTTCAGATATTCTTTAACTTTAACCAACGTCTGATGCTCAGGTTTTGTAAAGCCCTTTAAAATTCGATTTCATTGTTATCCATGCCATTTTACACGCATGACATTTTTATAATATTCAACCCAATTTAATTTTAAATCTATAAGTTCTTTTAATATTTTTCTTTCTATTACTATTATGTGTCATGAGGTGGTGGAATCAGGCGCTCATCAGTTTTTTAGCATCGGGTTATTATATCTTAAAGCCTGTTCCTTTATTTGCTTTCCTTTTAGTGAAAAAGATGATCCATCTCTATGTCGAATTGAACTCAAAAGATTTGCGATTGAAGGAGGTCAGGGCTGCCTGGTTTCAGAGGTAAAATTAACAAGAAAATGGCTGCCAAAATTTGGTAACTTCCATGAACTGAGAGTCCTTGCAAACTAAAACTTTACATTTTTTGTGCCTTTAATCAATCTTTTTCGGTAAATTCCACATAAAATGTGTTTTAAATTAACGGAAGGACTTCCATACGAGCGACCACCCCATCAAACACATATAAAAGAAGAGGCCTCACCCTAACCCAACCCGTAGCCCTCAATTCTGCTGTCTCATAGTGGTCGTTCGTTACGGAAGTCCTCCCAAATTCATATATTTGGCAGGTGTTTTTGAGCAAAAAAATTCTTTTTTTAAATATTTTGCCCATATTGGCCAAAAAAATATTGATTTCTTTGTTGATTCATTATTTTAACGAGCACCTGATCTCACCACGATGCCTCACATGTCACACAAAGTCTAACTCTATAGATTCTAGATCTAGTAATTTCAGCACATTTGACTTTGAGCAGTCAGGGGGTTTCACCCCTTCCCTTTCAATTCCAAGACAAGGAAAGATAAACAAAAATCAGTGTTCCGAAATTAGGTAAAACAGGTCTTGTTTCACAGCGGGTGAGAATAGCAAATTTATGCTGGCAAGTCTCACCCAGGGTGAGAGGTCGATCATATTTTTATTTTCACCCCGGGTGAGGATAGCCACTTCCTATCAAGAACAAATCTCGAGAACGGAAACTGTTCAGAGAAATAGAGTAGACCCTAATGAAAGTTTATTTTCCCGAGCGCTCGGAGAAATAGAGCCGGCCTTATTATTTTGTATTAGGCATAGACATTACACAACACACAGTTGAGTCTTCTGGTCTGTTTCTAATATGTCATGAATTACTGTTCATCTTTGTTGATGTTGTAGTTGTAGTGTACGTACTTGTTTGTAGTGTAGTGTACCGGCCAGGAACCGCTTTGGCTTTGGTTTTGATATCGATAACAGGTTGCCAATATTTATGCTCCCTGTTGTAGCTAAACTTCACCCTGACATAGGGATTTCTTTAAATACGGAAGGAAATTTCAATATATCAAAAACAATGGCAAACAATACCCAGTGTTGTTGATGATAAAAAGGCTGTGAATCATCTTGGAAATTGTGATGTTTACAACATCAACCAATGACCGGAAGTACGTGTTGGGTGGGTGTCTTGTGCTTTCAAGGGAGTTCACGCTTAATTTACCATTTTTCGACATTGTTTCCTGATTACGTTCCTTGGGAACCACTTTATTATCATTTCCAACTCCAAACGCAATGTTGATGTGTGGTTACTATAAAAGTATAGTATTCCCATTTTAATTGCTTCCCCCTGCAAAGGGCTACATAGACACATGAGCTGTCATCAAGACTTGGGGAAAGGACAGACGGCAGTCAGAAACATTAAAGAAGAAAACGACCCATTTACCCTTTAAAAACATCATAAGAAATCTCGGAGATCCTGTGGGCAAGTTGCGCATGTAAAGCCCTTGTTGATTATAAAATCGGCAAGAGTTGGCTTTGGCAGCGGGGGGAAATTCAAAATTAAATTTAATTCTTACAAAACTGATAAGTGCTTAATGTGTCCTGGGTGCTCATATTGCGACCTTATGCTGTTGCGAGCGCTCCAAAACACTGACTTACAAAAATGAACAAAAAACAATTTAACAAAAAAAAAGAAGAAGAAAAGCTATAAGAGCACTAGCAACAATGAAAACAGCTAGCAGCAAAAATTTACCAGCAATGTAAACTACAAAAATATTAGCAGCAGTAAATGTTTCAACAATGTAAACAATGGCCTGTTTTTAACGCCCCCTAATTGTACTAATAAAGAAGAAAAACAATGCATCAAAAGCAACAACGACACACAGAAAAAACAGCAACAGTAACTGTGTTAACAGAACCAAAAACATTTTTTAAAATTCGAAAACAATTAAAACATATTGAAATGTTCTTTTGAAACATTAAATACACCAATAAGAATATAACATATTATTTTATTGACTTTTACTCATTCAGCTAGTACAAAAAAGTAAAAAGGTCAAATCATATTCCTCTAGCAAGCGATAAACGTACTTTTATTATTTTAAAAAATGAAATCCTTAAAGGAATGACATGTATTGTTGCCAAGTCTTGTCACTTGGGTAAGCATCCAACACACACAAAATATACATGTCGTGTAAATCTAGGTCTTTGTGGTTGCCATCAATAAAGGTGTCCGTCAATTTCAACTTACTTCAACACCCCCC